TCTGTAAGAAAAGAACCAAGCTCAGAGCTACTCTATGTAAACAGGGAGCAATTCACACTCACTGGCACTGATGATGTTACCTAGTTGGGTCATGAAGCGTGTGCAAGAAAAACACTGAGCGGAGAGAGCCCCAAGGATCCCTCCTATCAATCCTGAACTAACAAACATTCTTGTCTATCTGTTAAAAAAAAAATGCATGCGTGAAGTATGTCTCCCTTTTAAAGAGAAAAACATGGGAGACAATTTTTGGGGTCTTGTGAAAGTAAGAATCATGTGACGTTATACTTTTGGGAGAAGGTTTGGGAAAGCGGGAAAAAAAACCCCCAAAATCCTCCCCTCCATTTATTTCTGTTTTCCCTAATGTTTTATCCTGTTTGTTAGGAGGTGTGAGTCAATGGCTTGAATTAATTCTAATTACTAGAGAGGCATATCCTGATTGAGCAAATAAAATAGTATGCTCATTTGGGCCAAGGCCATCTAATTAAATGCTAACTTTGGATAAGCTGGATGTGCGTGAAAGATTAATTTTTAAGAGGGTTTTTATGACTCACTAAATAACGATTCGGTTAAAAATCTTTCGCATTATATATCATTAGGCCATCTAATCTTAAAGTGTTATAACATTAAGTCACCGAACTCCATTGTAAAGGAAGATGTGGTAAATCATGTTTATTAACAAATTAATCATATTTTTTCCCCCCGCCAGCAAGTAAGTGTATCTGCTATATTTGGTTCTCTGCTGAGAATTAAACCGAGGCTTCACCGGGAGGTTTCAAATGGATTTTGGTGCCACAAATGGAAAACGGGGGGATTGGATTATAAATTGGAATGCTCACTTTGAAATCCAAGGTTCAAAAGCTTTGGACCCCTTCAGTGGTTATCTCTGAACTGTCATTTTTAATATCGCGGCAAAAGAAAATTATTAAATGCACAGGGCGCAGTTGTCCTGCAGGAATTTGATTAATTCATTTTAATGTTCATTAAACTTTCAATTCAATTAAACGGAAAGAGGATTGAGTTCCTGTCTCTTTGTCCTGTCTCTTTGCCTGCTTTTTGGAGCGTGGCCCCAGTATGACTCCAAAGATCAGTGAGTGGCCCTGGGTTTTATTAATAACAACAACAACAATAACAACAACAACAAAGCATATTTTAAAATCAGGTTGGCTTGCTGCAGTTTGGATTTCTCAGCCAGACGTAATTGAGATGACGAAGGAGGGATGGAATTTGCCAACTTAACCTATTGGCTATTTTGGGTGTTTCTCTCTTCCAAAGGATTGAATTGTGTAAATAATCTTGGGGGTGGAGCATCAAATTGGCACCGGCACCGGAGATGAATTCCTGGGTAAGGCCACACTTGGAATATTGCATCCAGTTAAATCAAAAAGATGTTGAGACTCTTGAAAAAGTGCAGAGAAGAGCAACCAGGATGATGAGGGGACTGGAGGATAAAACATACGAAGAACGGTTGCTGGAACTGGGCCTGGCTAGTCTAGGGAAGGGAAGGACCAGGGGAGACAGGAGAGCAGCCTTCCAGTATTTGAGGGGCTGCCCCAAAGAAGAGGGAGTCAAGCTATTCTCCAAAGCCCCTTCAGAAGGCAGGACAAGAAGCAACGGATGGAAACTAACCAAGGAGAGAAACAACCTAGAACTAAGGAGGAATTTCCTGACAATGAGAACAATTAATCAGGGGAACGACTTGACTCCAGAAGTTGTAAATGCTCCAACACCGGAAGTTTTTTAAAAAGATGTTGGATAACCATTTGTCTGAAGTAGCGTGGGGTTTCCTGCCTAAGCAGGGGGTTGGACTAGATGGCCTCCGAGGTGCCTTCCCACTTTGTTATTCTGTTGTTCAATGCAGTTTTGATGCTTCCCCCTTTGACTCCTCCCTTTGCAACTATCTATACATCCCTCCCCACAGCCTGTGTTGCATTCTCAAGAGAACGTGTGTGTGTGTGTTTGTGTGTGTGTGTGTTTGTGCGTGTTGTTTAAAAAAAGGGAAATACAAATGTTTTGCCCACCCTGCGATCCATTTGGTTTATGCACATCAGCAATTCAGGCAGACTTCGCTCCCTATCCTCTTCATCTTCCCCGGGAAAAGATTAATGATGATAAAGCAGCGAAGGCCCAATTCTTTTTCTTTTCTTATTTTTTATTTTTTTATTTCAGCCTCCCAACATTAGAATGATATAAATAAGACTCATAAATCCACCCTTCCCTCTGAACTGTATTCCCCAAGGCACCCCCAGACAGAAGGCAGGGGTAGTAGCTTCGTAGGACTTGTAAGAGAAGAGAGACCGGTGGGAGATTAAAGTCCTTCTAAGCAGCAGACTTACAGAATAACAGAGTTGGAAGGGACCTTGTAGGTCATCTAGTCCAACCCCCTGCCCGAGCAGGAGACCCTACACCATTTCTGACAAAAGGCCATCCAATCTCTTCTTGAACGTCTCTAGGGATGGCCAGTCTCTTCTTGAAACCTTCCAATGTTGGAGCATCCGCAACTTCTGGAGCCAAGTTGTCCCACACTGATTAATTGTTCTAATTCCTTACTTCTAAGTTGCTCCTCTCTTTGGTTAGTTTCCATCCATTGTTTTTTGGTCTGGTCTTGGAGAATAGCTTGACTCCCTCTTCTTTGGGGCAGCCCCTCGAATATTGGAAGACTGCTATCAAGTCACCCTGGTCCTTCTCTTCCTTAGACTAAACTAAAATGGAACATAAAGGAGGCATAGGTTTCGAAGGGACCCTGGAGGTCATCTAGCCCAAGCTCAAGCAGGGAGACCTTCTATACCACCCCAGGCAAATGCCTATCCAGTCCCTTCTTAAAAACCTCCATGAATGGATCTCCCCTAACTTCTGAAGGCAAGCGATTCCACCAATGAATTGTTCTCCTTAGTTCTAGGTTGGATCCCTCCTGGATAATCTTCCATCCATTCCTTATTGTCCTGCCTTCAGGCTGTTTTGGAGAATAAGTTCACCCCGTCTTCTCTGTGGCAGCCCCTCCACTATTAGAAGACTGCTACCACCTTACCCCGAGTCCTTCTCTTCCTTAGACCAGCCTAACATGGAACCTAGAGTTGGGAGGGGTCTTGGAGATCTTCTAGTCCACCCCCCACTGCTGAAACAGGAGACTCTCCACGGTTTGCAACCAGCTTCTCCCCAGATTCCCCTTCGAAACCCTTCCAGTGACGGAGCACCCACAAGTCCCTTTATTCTTGATTTCTTTCTCCTGTTTTAACATTTCTTTCCCACCATCAGAAATACACTGTCCCTGGATCGCCTTGATTCACTCCCGGAATGAAAAGCAGAGTATCGAAATCAAGAGGCTGCTTAGAGGAAAAAAAATTTTTTTTTGTTCCTCGGGACACCCAAACGCTTAGAAATTGAGCGTCGTTGGAAATCCTTGCACGCCTGCACTCCAGCCCACGGCAGCAAATGTTCAACAGAGCAGATAAAAGCAGCTCATATTCCTTTTTATTTGCCAGCTTGTTCCTTTGTTTAAAATTGGGGTTTTTTTTTTTAAAAAAAGGCTAGCATTAAAGAGTAAAGGAACGAGGGGGAAAAGAAAGCCCACCTCGATGCAGCCTCCAGGAGAAGAAAAAGAAAAAAGAAAACCCAATGCCATAATATACGAGACAATAATTAAATTAGTAGCACTATATATATTTTTTTAGTCTCGTAGTAAAAAGTACCAGCAACTACTACAAAATAACATTGGAAGTTTTGCCAGCAGCCCGCTTAAAAAAAAAAAAAAGCAAAAATCGATGAAGAGCTGATAAAATACATGGATGTGCACCAACATTTGGCTGTAAAAATTTTTAAAAAAATGTAGTTTCCAATGCTGGGTTTTAGGTCTTACAAATTTTCACTTCTTTCTTTGTTTCGCCCTGCCTTATAAAGCAACTTTCTGGCCTTGATCAGAAATAAAGTTTGATTTGGCAGAAACATCGAGGGCCTGAAATCCAATGTCCCTTATCTGGAAATATTTTGGAGAACAGCAAATACTATCAGCCACGTTCAGCCTCCTCCTCCTTTTCTCCAGAGCTAGCAGGGGAAAAAAAAGGCAGCTAGTCCTCAACTTACAATGGTTCATTCAGTGACCATTCCAAGTTATAACGGTCCTGGGGAAAAAGTGACTTATGACTGTTTTTTTCACCTTTACGACCGTTGAAGCAGCCCTGCAGTCACCTGATCGAAAATTTAGATGTTTTGACAACTGACTCACACTTATGGAGTCACATAACTCCTTTTTTGCAACCGTCTGTCCATGGGGAAGCCAGGTTCACTTAATATATATCGAAGTTCAGAGTGTACGTTTTTCTTAAAGGCAACTTTCCAAACTAAAGATGAGGAAATTCTATATAGGATGCATATGGATTGGGCAGAAGTTACCCTCTCTGCTCATTTAAGAATGTAATAAAGATTGGCTTTATTTTGATGGATTAACCCAGCCTGGCGTGAGAAGCATCTCTCTTGCCCAAACGCGAAGCGCTCACGTCTCCCTTGACCTCTCTTGTCCCAACAGGGCCACATTGGCACAACCGCAACAAAAATCATTGACGTCTACCTCCCACTCCACGCCAACCAGGACAAGCTGCAACCCATGACTGTGGTGACGATTGCCAACGCCAAGGTGCAGGACCTGATCGGACTCATCTGCTGGCAATACACGAGCGAAGGACGGGAACCCAAGTTGAAGTAGGTCCCTTCAGGGGTCATCTTCTCTTTCTCTCTCTCTCTCCTTCCCTCCCTCTTCTCTCCCGCCCTCCTCCTCTTGTTCTCTCACTCCTTCCCTCACTCCTTCCCTCCCCTCTCTCCCTCTCTATCTCTCTCTGTCTTTCCATGGAACATTTTTTGCATAAGGAAATTGATTTTGACAGGTAAGTATGCAGGTAGATGTTGAAAATATGGGTAGATGGAGACACAGATAGACAGCCATGATGGATAGATGAATAGATAGATAAATTGATAGATAAGATGGATGGATGGATGGATAGATAGATAGATAGATAGATAGATAGATAGAT